TACTGAAACTCATGGAACACAGCTCTTTGACACACAGAGGAACATTATGCCCTGGAATCAATTCAAGGACAATTGATGTGGTTTTTTTATCCCAAAATCGACACCTCAGATCCTGCTGTCCACAGTTCTTCACAATATAGCTCAATACCTTTTATTTTTTTTTGTTATGTTTGTGTGTCTTCCTTAGCTTGGAAGTCACCAAATAGGCGGGACTAAATCTGTTCACATAGAGCTTACTGATGGCTCCTGTATAAATATGTGGAATAAATGCAAATTCATCATATGAATTCAAAGGAACTTAGCCTCTTCCTCGATAAAAAAAACGTTCTTGGTCACCCATCTGCCGAGGACTTTCCCACTGATCTCCTCCTTATCTGCTGCCAAGGAGTCAATTCCAACTCATTGCAACCCCATCCCCTGTGGCAGACTGGAACTGTGCCTTCTAGGGCTTCCACAGCTGTGATCCCATCAAAGCATTAGCACTAGGCCTTTCTTCCAAAGTCCTTCTGGTAGGTTTAAAATGCTAACCTTTCAATAAGCAGCCAATGGCTTTGCTATTTGTATGACCTCAGCCTAGACACCTAAGAGTCTTTGTCTTCTATTTACTATTTTCTTTGTCTAGGAGTTGGGGGGTTAATTCACTAAGGAGGTTCACAGTCCTGCTGTCCTGATTTAGCAAAGGAAAGTAGGAAGTCTATCCATCAGCATCCGTCCATCAACAACAGCCCCACGAGCTTGAAACTGACGATCACAAACACATAGAAGTGCTCAAGAAAAGTCTTATTGGCAGTGCAAAAGCATTACTTCAGCCTTTATTAAATTTCTGGAAAATGAATGAAAAGAACCTGAGAGTTCACTTACTCCCATAGCTTGCATTTCTAAATGAGGAAAACAGAACTAGTTAATAGCAGGTTTGGTACTAGCCAGAGGTTGGCAACATCAAACCTTGCAAAAATGCATCATAAGGTTGCTTCATCCTAAACCACTAACAAACAAACAACAACAAAAATACCCAACAATGTGGCACTGGCTCATATTGACCCTATAAGACAGAGTAGAACAGACCCATAAAATTTCCCAGGCTGGGATGTCTATGGAAACAGATTACCACGGCTTTTTCCTGATTGTGACGACTGGGTTTAAACTGCCCCTTTTTCAGGTTAGCAGCTCGACGGGGCCACGGTAAAATCAAGCCGTAGAGAATGGAAAATAAATGAATTTTGCGATTTTTTTCCTTTGCATTTCTGTTTCTCTGTTTATCCTTCTTAAGTTTCTCTCATTACTTGGGGTTTCAGATGAAACGGTGGCATGCCTGAATGAGTCTCTTGATTTTTCTCCTCGTAGCTACTGTGTTTCCCATCTAAAGGCGAACATTCATGAGCCAATCAAGATTTTTTTCTTGGTGACCTTTGTAGAAAAGAACACTTCAGAATTTCTATATGGAAGATGCTGAACCTCCTTCCTAGCCCATCCAGTCAATTAAAATGAGTCTCTGCCTCCCTCCCCACCGGAAGGTATTTAACCAATCCTGAGACAGAGAAGATCCATCTCATTTCCCCCGTCATCACTGTGCAGGGAGTTGCTAACCAGTCAGAATCTGCCACTAGCAGTCATTAGAAGAACTGGCCAATCAGACCAACCTTGTTACATGGTCTGGTAGCAAAAGAAAGGGATTGATTGGAAAGGCTGGTTCTGACTCCACACCCTTTCCTTCCTGGGCCCCAGCTTTTCCTCAGTGAAATGAAAGAAGAATAATTCCTCAAGATCACGGTTAGAAACATCCCGAGACGCTCAGCCTAATCTTGTATCATTTTTGGTCTTTTCAAATTCACCTTATCCCTCACATACCTCCAACGACCACTTCCCTCCTCATCTAATGCTGTGCTTCAGAATGCTTAGCAACAGACGCCCCAAGGATTCTCAGCCCTCCCCACAAACTTTAAACCACACACTTGTCAAATAATCTGCCTTTGCCTAATGTATGTAGGTGAAAAAGTTCAGTGATAGTACAGTCGGTTGCAGGAGACATCGTGGCCGGGCACTGGCAAGAACGATCCATCTATCTAGGTAGCAGTGCTGAATGGAATTGCAATACTCGTTGCTAATAATCGCTAGCATTTACTGACTCTTATTGAGGATCCGCGAGGGCTGGTGGCACCTTGGTGACGCAGCAGCTGGGTCGCTAACCGAAAGGTTGGCAGTAGGCGGGGAGAAAGTTGTGGCAGTCTGCTTCAGATAAATGACAGCCTTGGCGACTCGACTGTGTCCTGCAAGGTCACCGTGAGATGAAACAGGCTTGATGGCCATGGGTTTGGTCTTTGGGTTATTGCTATGTTATCCCAATATTCACCCCGACATAGGCATTTGTATTAGTCCCCATTTACGGAAGAGGAAATCGCTTTAGAGGGGTTAACAGCCTGCCCAAGGTCACAGAGGTTTGGGAAGCCAGGTGGGTCTGAATGCGGAGCCCACTCCGGTAAAGTGGAAAACCATCGCAGGCTGCCACAACTTTGGGGAGCAGTCAGCATTAGCTTCCCACCAGGCCCGCTCACGGAGGCCCCTTTGGGATGGTAAGGGATGTCTGTGGTTGCAACGCTCCTGGTGATGGCGGCTCCTGGTAACTGAACTTTCTGCCTCAGAGGAAGAATGCTAAGAGCTGAAGTGAATTCTGCTCGGGCGTCTGGGAGCCCCGGGGACAAGTCCCTTGCTAACTTGCCTTTCCCCTCCGCCTGACATCTTGCAAGGAGCCTGGCACCGTTTGCTTCCTGGCAAATACCTGTTGATTGATGGATTCCCCAGGGTGCCAGCTTCCTTCCTTAGCTCCCCCACCCTCCACTCATCCACGGGAACCCGGGAGAGATGTAGGCATTTCAGGGGACCTTGGGAGGCTCTTAACGGAGCTGGGATCTCGGATTTAGGAAAAGTGGGACGTGCCCCCACTCTTCTCCCGACCGCTTCTCCGATCGCTCCCCACTCCCAACCCTCCCTTTCCGAAAGAAGCTCAGGGCCATAAAAATGCAGATGGAGGTTCGGTGTGAAATAACGGGCCCATATAAATCCCTCTGCCGCCCGCCTGCAAGATGGATTGGCCGCATTGAAATTCCTCCGCGAGGATAATTAAACTCGGGGCCTCATCCGGGCAAAATTACATTCCTGTAATGGCGTCGCTCGGGGTCCCGGGAAATTGCTCGGTGGGCTTTCAGCGGCGCTTTTTATCGCCGGCCGGGGTGTGCCTGGCTGCGGCTCGCCTCTCCTCCGGGACCGTAAAGCTGCTGCCGTGATTTATCCTCCCCTTCTCCCAAATCCGATTAAATGGAGGAGCTCGGGGCCGGGGCGCCGCGGGGCCCGGAGCCGGCAGGGGCGGCGGGAAGGACGGGGCCAAGGAGGGGAGGACAAACGGCCCCTCGGAGGGCGGCGGATTTGGCTTTATTTACAGCCGCGGCGTTCTTTTTATTTTTTATGGGGGTTTAGGAGCTTCTCCTGTCTTTCTCGGGCTTCCCTTCGAGCCCGCCGTCCCGACGGCGGCGGGCGCTGCGGAGGCCTTGCTGCCCTGTCCATCCCCAAGGCCCGGGCGGACCCAGTCTGGGAGGCAAGGTGGTTTGCAGCGAGAGACGTGGCTCGGGAAGCCACGTCCTTCCCCCAGGGAAGGAGGAGCGAAAGGGCACAAGGGAGAAGGCCAGGCGAGGGGCTTGCAGGAGGGTACCACTCGTCCTAACATTCGTAAAGGGGGCTTCTCCATAGAAGCTTGGGCACGCCCAGGGTGAGCTCGCGACGTCAGGGCCTAAAACCAGGTTTAGGATCAGGGTGCAGGGATCATCCTTCAGTCATTCTTTAGCTCCTGTACTCTGGCTCGTTGATGCCGATTTCCGCACCTCAAAACTGATCACCGGAATAAGGGGGAGAACAACAAGCCACCAACCAGAAGCAGCTGGCACCTTTGCCCACTATTCACCCACTGAATGCATTTCTCATCCAACCATGCCAGGGTCTGGGGGGACGGCAAGCAAGAGCCCAGTGGTTTCATTTTACTCCTGTTCCATTTTGGACAGTGCATCTCAATCTCGAGTTTATGCTATTTAACACCAGTTTTCTGGGTAGATTTTTTTTTTTTTTTGGAGCGGGGGGCGGCACGTGACTGCGCATGCTCGGAAAGGGCACGCGGGTCCGTGATTCCAACTCAGGGCAGATCCCACGATCGGCTCGGCCTGCAGTTTCTCCTCTCAAACGCCAGGCGGAGCGACTGGCCCGGATGGAGCCACCGAGCTGGCGGGTGGCGCTGTAGCGCCCCGGCCCGCAGTCCTCGCTTTAGTCATTCTATCCAGCCGAGCGACTCGTTGGCCTGGGCTGCGCATGCGTCGAGCCTCCCCTCCCGCTCTCCCCGCCCTTCCCCCTCTCCGACTTCTCTGCACTAGGAGCAGGTAAGGCCTTGGGGCCTCGCCGCCCGCTTTGCGCCGCGCACGCGCGTGGGGCACCCGACCTCGCGCTGCTGCTTTTAAGGCCTTGATTTTGCATGCGCTCGCCCCAGTCTTCGCGCCCGCCCCAGCTGCCGGTATGGCCGCGCCTTAGGGCTCCCCCTTCCGCGTGTCGGTGACCTCCAGCCCCGCGGGCCTGGCGCCATCTTGGGTCTCTCGCGGGGGGAGGGTGCCTGGGAGCCGGCGGGCGTGAGAACCCGAGTGCTGCTTTCCCCCGGTGCGGACGGACCTTCCACACGCTCTTGGCTCAGCCGCGGCCCCTTTCAGAGTCGTCGAGCCCGCACGCTGCCTTCTCTCCTCGAGTCCCCTCCTTGCTCTGGACCCGCCCCTGACTTTCGGCCTCAGAACCGGAGGTGCCCGGGCCCAGGAGAGAAGGGGTCGTCTAAACCGCGCCCGCTAGTCGGCAGCCCTCCCTTTAAACCTCAACCGTGACGGCGGTGAAGTGGACCGAGCGGCCATTCCACGCTGTGCCTGCGAGAGCCCAGGCCTGCCAGTCCTCTGCCTATCTTGGCACCCCGGGGGCGTTGAGGACATGCACAAGTGGTGGCCTGAGAAGCACGGGCTTCCGTTAGCTGACGGGCCGGCGTAAGAGGACTGTCCACTGGCCAGCTGGACAGCCTTCAGGAGGAAAAGATTTAAGCAAGGGCACGATTAAGTTGGGAAGAGGCTGATGATGATTGAGCAGCGCAGATTCTTGGTGTGTCCAAGGGGCTACAGGCAAACGATTGCAAACTTGTCCAGGTTAAGCAACCAATGGGAAGTGCCCCTTACCCTAACCAGAAACCCCCCAGTCCATCGCCACTCATAGTGGCGACAGGACAGAGTAGAACTGCCCCCAAGGGTTTTCAAGGCCACAGGTCTGTGGAAGCCCAGGAGTAACTTGTAGACTTGAACTGCTGACCTTTCAGCAGCAGAGTTCCAAACCACCATGGTTCTGTCACTCAGGCTACCTTGATTGTCACCCTTATTGTGGGCTTAAAGCATCTCTAAGCGCTTTACATCTACGTTGAACAGAGCCCTGGTGGCATCGCGGGCTCTGCAAACTCAGATTGCAAACTCAGCATTTAGAAACCAGCAGCGCCTCCTGAGAAAGAAAGATGAGGCTTTCTACTCTCCTAAAGAGTTATAGTCTGAGAAATTCACAGGGACAGTTCTACCTCGCCCTACAGGGTCGCGATGAGTTGGGACGGACTCAGTGGAGGGCGCTGAGTTTGGTTTGGGAGATAAATGTTACCTCATCTAATTCTCCTGCGTGTCACATTTTACAAACAAGGGTATTGAGGTTTAATTACTTATTGAGAGAGGGGAAAAACCCTACTTTTTAATTTTAAGCTCTAAAGCTTGGCTTTTGGTGTGTGAAAACCTCGACATTGGATTTAATTTATATATGAGGGGTATCAAAAAATTCATGGAAAATGAAGTTGGGAGATAATGGGATTTGGCCACGAACTTTCTGAAACCCCCTCGTGTGCAGAAGGCAAGAGTTCTAGACAGGACTAATGTTTGAAGGCACCCATTAATCTAAAAGTAACAAGTTCTGGATTCAGTGGGGGTGGAACTTGGGACAGTCTTGAATACAATTCATTACTTAAGCAAGGGCCAAAGTAATTACTCTGTCAGCCAAAGATTTATTAGAAAACACACACTGTGTCTCTCCAATGAAGTACATGTAAGAAGCATGTGCTAAGCTTGTTTGAAATGCAGATACTTGGTCTCTATCCCCGGAGTGTACTTGACTAGGAGACTCTACTTCAGTCTAAGGGGGGGAGCCCAGCAATCAGCATTTTTAACCTCACCACCCACCCGCCAGGTGATTCTGGTCCAGGTGGACCTCTCACTCCACTTTGGGAAGCCCCAGGTTTCCCATATCTTGCACTCACCATATCTCAGCGAAGTTGAGGTCTGTCAACTTAAGAGTAAGGTGACCAGACATCCCGCTTTTGGCGGGACAGTCCCGATTTTGAACAATTTTTCCCCGCATTCCGCGGCTTTTTTTAAAAGTCCCGATTTTTAGAAAGATTGCACGACAAGCTAGGGTATACAGTTTTCGGCTGCCATGTGGCTATTTCGCCAGGATATGAGTTTTATCAATGGGGTCCCGCTTTACCAATGTTAAAATCTGGTCACCTTAACGTAGACACCTGCTATTGCCAGGACTGTTTTTAAATGGGGATACAAAATTGTGTGACGGTGAAAAGAATATTTAGTCACTACTAATTAGAGTTTTGATAGGGTTTCTCACAGATCTGCCCTAAACTGCTAATACAGGAAATAGAAGTGTTCTGAGTGATAAAATATTTCTCAGTTATTCAGTAAAAAAAGATCATTGGAGACCTTCCAGTGCCTTAGCCTCCAACAGCTATCTCTAGAATATAAAGATTCCAGTTTTTAAGTTGCCTTTTATTTCTTTAATGGTCAAGGCAATGAAGTTTGGAGTAGGAGCTAAAAAACAGGCAGTGGACAGTCTGGGGAAAATCTCTCTGAGCATCCCAATGTGTGAAGCTACGGAGGTGGGTTACTGGTCCTAAAGCTAGGATTGCATAGCACCTTGCTCAGGCTAGGGGAGGCCATTTGATTATAAGGATATCTTAGAAGCTGTGGGGTCTCAGGAGGAAATGATTTCAGGGTTTCTAATTATGTTTCTGCCGCTGACTGAAGGTAAGTCACTCTACTCTGGACTTTTCTGCTCATGATGCCGTTTAGTGAGGACAATGTGTATGATGCCATGCCGCTTCTGTAATTCCAGCTCGCCTGCTACTGCCCCTCATCCCCTAAAAATGTACGCCTGCGCCAAATTCGTCTCCACCCCTTCCTTGGTGAGTATCTGCCATTTGGAGGAGCATCCTGTCTCCTTGCCATCAGACCCTGTTCCTCACAGGGTGGTCGGAGGAAGGTGAAGGTTTGGGAGAAGGAAAGGCCTTTTGCTGTGGTGGCCTGAGAGAAGAGAGTGGATGCTTACGGCACCTCTAACCCATGTCCCCGAGGGGCTAGGTAATTCCTCTCATTCAGCCGTCTTCGATGGAAAGTAGATGAAAGTGTAGACCAGGATAAGATTGTTCTGCGTCCCAAGACAAAAGAGTTCCTACGTAGTGGAACCCAGCCAGCCTTGAGTGAACATGAAGCAGCCAGTGTAACGTGGGCAGCATTGGCACCATATGTGGGCTCTTGCCCAGTATTGGAAAAGAGCCACAACCAGGTGAAATTTGATGGGAAAGCTAAAATATACATTAAGCTACATAGGAAACGTTTTCTAGCTCAGAAGCAGCTGGGTGGAAGACATGGCAATAGGTTGACTCATCCATTTATTTATAACTGAAAAGGATCGATGTTATTAGTAGATCTCCCCCTCCCCCCCAGCGTTTACCATGTGGCTGACCCTGAGTTTACCACCAGTGCACAAGCTCTGTATTCCTCAAAACAACCTGAGAAATGATACTCTGGGTGGATAGAGGAGATTAAGTCACTTGTCCTTAGGTCACACAGCTAGCTGATCTAGAGCTAAGATTTGCATCTAAAACCATCTGACTTTAAAATCCATATTGCCGGGCTTAGGGTCAGAAAGGACCACCAGGGGACATTTGAAGTATGGGTCTTTGTGTCCATTTTCCAGAAGGCTGTGTTCAGGAAAGGTGCCCCTTTCGGCCCCAATCCTCGGTTGTCTTGTTGAAGGCTGAATGGACTCAACAATATAGCTTCGTCGCTTGTCGAGTGAAGCAAATGTTTCGGGGTTTAGTTTTCTTTCGTTGTAAAAGCACATAAAGCCTTGTGGCTCAGAAGGTGCCCGGGAAGCAAGAGGAGTGGTGTTGTTCTTGAATCTAGAATGAGCTAGATTAAGGAAGAATGAGTCAAGATTCTGGTTTAAGTGTGAGGGTGGAAGCAGCAACAGAGAAGAGAAGCTCCTACCTGTGGTTGTAAGTAATGATGCCATGATTCAGAACCCGTCTCCATCTTCCTGCCCACCAGGTCAGGAGCACCTCCCAGCTGCTGAGCCGACCACTGTCAGTGTTGGTGCAGAAACGGCCGGAGACACTGTCGGACGAGGTAAGCATTATAGGGGTAGTTGAGGCCTGTGGTAATAGAGGGAGGAAGGTTACCTTCTAGAACCAGTAGGGGGAGTGCCAAGGACAATAATCAGGGAGCAAAACTGCCGCAAGTGGTGGGGGCATTTAAATACCCTATGTGCGTGAGTCAGCATGGGGCCAGGGATGTTTCTGTGGGTCTTCAGCTTAGTTTTCAGCAGTCAGTTGGAAGCATCCAGGTCCCAAAAAGATCTCTCTGCACTGGCCCAGCCGGGGGCCTCCGTCTTCGATGGCCAGACCACACCTGACTCTTGAAAGCATTTGAAATCCACCTCTTACTTCTAAGCAGCTCTGCTTACCCACATTTTAAGGAGTTTTCCAGGAAGTCAAAAAGATCTTTGATTTGCAAGGAAAACTGGGATTTGACCTTGTAAAGGGTTTAAATAGCAAAAAGTTTACAAAGCAAGAGACTTCCCTAAATCGTGTGCTCTCATTCTACCTCCTCTTCATAGCGCTTCAGCAGCTTGACAGCCCCACGTTCCCAGACCTCACTCGTCCCTAGTCGCAGCTTCCAAACCAGCACCGTCTCAAGGGACATTGACACAGCTGCCAAGTTCATTGGGGCCGGGGCTGCCACAGTTGGAGTGGCAGGCTCTGGAGCTGGCATTGGGACGGTGTTTGGGAGCCTCATCATTGGTTATGCCAGGTAAGATCAGTTGGTCCCTTTGATAAGCTTTCGTAAAGTCTGAGTGGAATTATTTGGTGTTGGTAAGCTGTACTAGCGTATATATGGTAGCTACTAGCCACATACAGCTATTTGGATTCAAGTTGTAGTGAGTTAACATTAGGTGAAGTTTCAGGTGTCCCATCTCTCAGTCACATAGCCACATTTCAGGTTCTCAGGTGCCACAAGTTGGCTAATCCCTGTTGGAAATGCAAGTATAGAAAATTTTCTTACATTGAAGAAAATTCTCCTGAATTTTCTAGCTTTAGTCTAGAGCAGGGGCTGGCAATCTAAAACCCAAGAGCCAACCTGCTTTTGTACACTTGTACACTCTCAACTTTTTACATTTTTAAAGGTGGTTTTTGTTTTGTTTTGTGTTTTTAATTATACAACAGAAACCTCCTATTTGAGCCCACAATGCCTCAAATATTCGCTCCCTGGCCCTTTCTCACACACGCACACTTGCTCCCTGGTCTACTACAGCCTCAACCAGCATAGTAACTTGACTGCTGTTTTCCCCCATCCCCGGAATTCCCCCTCTCACTCCTGGGAAAAGCGCCTCTGCAGCCAGCCTCCCGGGACAATTTGGTCCCAGCTGACTTAGAGCAATTCATGTTAGAACTAAATTAATCCTCAAGAGGCCAGCAGGCTCACTTAATGTTGTTGGGGGAATGGATCTATTTTTCAGGATCTATGTGAAACAAGGAGCCTGCCTGCCTGTGTGTTCTGTTAAGATTTGGTGGTACTTTCTTGACGTGCCCCGAGGGGTCCGAAGGAGGGAAATGTGTACATGTTGATGTTCAAAGTTGCCATAGTTAATGTCTATTATCGTCTAAGCCACTCTCCCCACCCCGTCCACAAACTATTCCTTCTTCAGGCTAAAATCTTTGGACTCTTTTTGGAGTAGAAGAAAGCAGTTCTCCCATTGTCCTGTAGAACAGTGAGGGGGATTTTATTGTTAAATTGTGTTCTGTATAACCCTAGGATGTAGATGATGTCTCTCTAAAGACTGTCCTAAGATTAGAGGAGGCTAAACAAACCTTTACAAATCCCTCACTTCTTTTAAGTTGGATTTGCTGTTTCATACTTTGGGGTTCTGCTACTGTATAAGTTTGAAATCATTACTCTAGATTGACCCTGCTTTCTGATTGCCTCTACCATCCTGGTTTCAGTGTCCAGGCCTGGTGGTCTTAAATGATAACAGTGATGGGGCTGCTTCACTAGAGGAGGTAAAGTTTCTCCCGGATCATGTGAAAGGATTCAGGGTTACTCGTGCCCCTCGCTCAGGCCATAGAGCACCTTTGTGTGCCAGAGCAAGAATTTGGACATGATCATATCACCCGGAACGGTTCATTACATAAGATGAGTTCTAAGAGGGAATTCTCCCCAAACCTATCTGTCATGTTCTGGTTGTGTGCTGCGTGTGGACCAGACAGTCAGTCTTTTCCCTCCTTCCCCCCAGGAACCCGTCTCTGAAGCAGCAGCTCTTCTCCTACGCCATCCTGGGCTTTGCCCTCTCGGAGGCCATGGGGCTTTTCTGCCTGATGGTGGCCTTCCTCATCCTCTTCGCCATGTGAAGGAGCCTGCTTCACCTCCCCTAGTTCTCTGCCCCACGTCTCGTCTGCCCTATATGTTGCTTTCCCTGCACCTCCCCAGGCAGCCCGGGGAAAGAAATTGGCTCAGGGTTTGACAGAGGGAAGACAAATGAATACTGTATTAATAAAGATGTTTCTTGAGTCTCCTGTGTATATTCTTTCCCCACAGTTGGCTAAGTGCCCTGGTGAGAGTACAAGGCTTAGAGGCTGGTGCTAGTTCTAAAACCAACATGGGTCTGGGCTCACTGGTTTCTTATTCTCTGCTTCTAGGAAGTGTTCACGTCCTCCATTTTGAGCAGTCTAATGGCTGGTTATTTGCTTTGAAGGATTGAGTTAGTAGCAATTAATGAGTTGACTTGCAGAACTGACTAGATATTAGGTATTGACTGGTAGGCTCTATTCCCTCTGCCACCGTCCTTTCTGTCGCAATAACCTTGACCGATCTTATGCCTCTAGTCTCTTGCCAGTAGCATTTACTTCCACCCACAACTGCTAGGCTAGTCCTCCAAGCAGTCATCCAGGACTGGAATTGTCATTTCCCTATTCAGAAACCCACCACTCAGTTTTAATGCTGTCTTCCTATATACCACACCCAGGATGGACTGTTCGTGCCATCTTTCAAGCTGTATTCATGCCTTCCTACGGCTGTAGACTTTCGGCCTTTTCTCCCTGAATAACACGGTCTGCCATAACTGGTGCCTCTGTGTGAGACAGCTTGCAAATCAGATGGTTGGTTCCTTGAGGTAAGGATTACGCCATGCTCTTCTCTGCATCCCTGGCAATAGGCACTTCCTGAATCACAACCCGCTCCACCAATGAGAAGAGGGCACAGCACATCCACGGCACGGTTGGAGCGAGAACAGGTCCAGAGTTTGGAACTACTAAAAGCTGGAGAAAGTGAAAACGCTTTTCTGTTTTCCTTTCACATGAAGTAACTTACAAATGACAGTCGATCTCAATAGTTCTTTCGGTTCGGTCATTTGACAAAGTCCAGGACAGGCTTACCCCCACCAAACCCCATCCACCTTTGCCCTTTTGCTGTTGTGAGCAAGGGTTTGTTTCCAGATTGCTGTAGTACCCCCAGATATCTTTTTTTGGGGGGTGGGGGCGGATTCTAGGCCTCATGGTGGACCACAGAAGAGCAGGTTCTGATTTCCTGTCTTTAGCAAAGTGTTAGTGGGAAGTATCGACCTATTTGGAGCGGGAGCCCTCCCTTAGCTTCTGTCACTGTGGTCCCTGCCCCGCTTTCTGAGTCATCTGGTGTCTGTTTTCTTGCCTTGTCCCTTTCTTTGGAATGGAGTGGCTAACCTCTGAGTGGCCCACTTGTTTGTGTTCTCTGAGGTGAATGATGAGATGCTGCTGCAAGAAACTTGGAAGCAAGTATCTGCACGAGGTGTCCAGGCAACCTGGATCCTTGCAGCTCTGTGCCCCAAGAGATGTACATTAGCAACTCAAGTTGCCAACAACTTTGGGTAGAGAATTAGTACGTTTTAGTAGAGAAAGTCCAAGCTAACTTTCACATCTCCCCAACTCTGAACAACATTATGGTATGCAATCTGTTTCTTGTCCTAGTTTGAGAGACAGCACATGACTTGAAATCAGGAGGCTAGTTTTAATATCTGTTCTCCCATGAGCCACCTGTGACATTGGGCAGACCACTAACCTGTCACTTTCTTGGAACTCAGTTTCTGGATGGTGATTATCCTATCTGATATTATTCAAGAGTACACAAAAGTACCCCGAGCATTTGGAAAGAATAATGCCATCACAGTTAAGTGTGTATCTATTATCCACCCGCTCCTCGCTTAATGATTACCTCACCGACATTTCTCGCAATAGTAAGAAACTACTGTTCTGCACCTTGATAATGTACATCTGACTAACAAAACAACAGAGGTGTAAGGCAAGACTAATGCTGGCTATGATAGGTAAGGCTATGTGTCACTTGGCCATGATTCTCAGAGATCTGACAGTTCTGTGATCTGTGATCCGTTCTGTGATCTGATGTGGTCATCCTCTATTTTCACGTAATGAGTTGGTCATTGTGAAACCTGACTAGTTTCCATAAATGAAGAGTGCTTTATTCTCAGGCTCTGTGGTGCTCAGAGCATATTAAAGGAATGTTATAGGTAGCTTCTCTCTTTTCTGATTGTCATAAAAAAGGGAACCGACTGTCCAAAGTCTGGCCCTAAAGCATCTGGAGAGAGAACCCAGGGATGGGATGCTGAAGGTCATGAAGCCCAATTCCCTTTTCTGACTTCTGTCTCTTCAAGAACCAGTTGTGTTTCTTCAGTGCCAGGGGAGGAGTGTCAATAGGTTTGTGCTAGCCTAATTAGAAGTAAATGATGCCCTTCAAAAATCATCTAAATGCTAAACAGCAGTAATGAGGAGCCTAGTTCCAGCCTCCCTTTCAGGGATGGATTTATTTGTTGGAGACTCTCAAGGTCCTCAGGATGAGAAGGCTCAGGAACAATACTGGTGATTTCATTTGAGTTGGTGCCAAGGAACCTGGAGACAGTTCCGTGTCTCCATTTAAGAGAGAGGAAATGAAGTGACTGAAGTAATCAAATGGAATCCGAGGAAAAGTAGTAACATCTCACTGGTGAGGAGAGACTATTGCTCCAGTTCTCCAGGTTTTGAGCAATGGAACTTTATTGAGCCATATCTAAAAATACCATGCATTTTTCAACATGTATTCTTAAGACACAGTCCTAGACAACTTTGATGTTCTTGCTTTATGAGGAAACCTAAAACATGTCCTCAGGCCTTCCTTGACATTTATTTTATTTCTGAGTATTATCTCAAGGCATTGTTTCTATATTGTCATCAAAGAGCCACTTTAGGAATGGCAAAGGCATTATGGGTAGAATACCAGGGAGCAGGGCAGCCTCTCATATCAGGGGCTCGGTTGGTTAAGGGTAGTTTGTTCCCACTGCCTGTCTTCCAGAAGAGATGGTTTCTTCTTACCTGTAGACAGACTTTCTAAAAATGACTCCTAAAGATATCCTGCTGGAATCCCCAGAGCATGTGTGATGAAATTTCACTTTTGTGTATCTGGTCCAGTTGACTTTCAGATAAAGATATAACCTGGGTGAGCCTGATCTAATCACACAAGCCCTTAAAAACAGATCTTTCTCTGGCCGGTGGCGGAAGGGAATTAGAAAGATTCAAAGCAGTAGCATTAAAAAAAATATAATAATAATAAATAAATAAATAAAGCAGTAGCATTTGCTGCAGCATGGCCGGCTTTGAAAGTAGAAGGGACCGTATGCAAGGACCACAGATTGGCATCTAAGAGCCGAGTTTCCCTTCCATCCAGCAGCCAGGAAGGAAATGGGGACCGCAGTCCTACAATCTCAAGGACCTGAATTCTGCCAGGAACTACGTGAACTTGGAAATGGAGTCTTTTTCAAAATCTTAATAGCCTTCAGATAAGAACCACTTGCCTGAAACCTTGGCTTTGGCCTTGTGAGACCTCTTGTGAAAGCAACAGAGCCTGCTTGGGTTTATAATTTACATAACAATGAGATCATAAATGATGTTGTTTTCAGCTAACGAATTTAGTGGTAATTTGTTACACAGCAGTAGAAAACTAGCAAGTATAGTCTTCCAATCTGCAGTCAAAGGAGTGAAGTTTCATCTGAATCTTGTATTGAAAGGATGGATGCACAGCACATGGTTTGACTGACCCTCAGCCTCCTAATTTCATTGCTTAGGAAAATTTAACTAGGCAAGTTGGTGTGTGTGTGTGTGTGTGTGTGTGTGTGTGTGTGTGTGTGAAGTATATGCTAAACTTATGTTTTAAAGCATTTTGTTTGTGTGAAGGTCTTTGTTTCTTGTTTTAATGGATGAGAACACTGAGGCGTAGAGATTCAAAAACACGACACTTCATCCTTGAGGTTCTCTAGAATGGAAGATAATTTACCCGTGACCCAAACTCCTTGCATTCTACCAACCCTCTTTAGGGCCAGGATAACATTGGAGGAGAGAAAAAGATAAATCTGGAGAGTTTTAAGATCTCTCAGTAAAGGCAATTAATCTACTTCTCATAATAACTATCCCTGTCACCTTGCAGATAAGTAGCATTTTGCCGACCCCTCAGTCCATTTTGCTCCCCTGCTCAGTTCCTGGGTTTCTGGTCAGGCTCAGCTGAGCTGGCTCAGCCCCGCAAGATGGGTATTTTTAACCTGTGTGGATTAGAGCCTTCCAGGAACTCTGTAGCTGTTTTTATGGCAACCAACCCTGCGGTTCCTGTTGGGGGGATACGTGGCTGTGATCGCTGTGTGTCTGTGTATAGTGGTGTTATCTGAGCCTTAATAAAACCTTGCAGCCCCTCTTTACCCCTGAGCCTTTCCCAGACACATCTCCCAACAACTGGGACAGGGACTTTAAGTTTCCAAAACAGCTGCAGAGGGTAACAAACAGCGAACACATAGTTCCCCTAGCAACAGAAACGTCAGTGGGGATTTAGCTCAGGGAAACTTTGTGCCGCGCAGAAGACGCATACAATTTTCAAAAAGCAGTTGGTCCTGTGGAGTCAGATTGAAAGTCCCAGAATCTTGGGTTCAGATCACTCACGGAATGGCTTTTCGTTAACTCTCCCGTGCTTCAAATGGCTTCCCTTGTGTGCCATAGGCCGAGGGTCCGCCTCCTGAGCTGCTGTAAAAATCGGTTAAATTAGGTTTTCAAGCTACTTGTTGGAGATCTAGCTCACTGTAAATTGTCTATCTCCGCTGTTTTTTAGTTACCAATTTACCAAGAGTAACTTAACACTGGGGTTCTCTGCCAGCGCTAAAATTAGACACCACTACTCTGGGGTTTCCTTTTCTTCCTCTTGCTTTTGTTGATGGGGCTTGGGGGAAACAGCTGGGCAGCTGGCAGCGGTAAATGAAAGGCTAAAGAAAAACTTCTCACACTCCAAAACACGATTTCCATCCTGCCCACCTTATCGTCCTTTCAAAGAAGAAACCTAAAGCGGCCCTGGCTTTTGATTTGATTTACTTGTGGAAATGGACCTGGGAAAGAGATCTCTTGGGAATCCGAGAGGGCAGAATAAACAGAATCGAGGGAACTCAGACTCCTGGCCTCTCTAGCCTTCCTTCTTGTCCCCGTCAGATGGGCTTTCTGCCACGAACACTCTAG